TTTTTTTGGTTTAATTTTAGTTTTGTAGCCGGCGGTCTATAAAAGAACGCCACCTTATCTCTCTTTATAGCGGCGGTCCTCCTTACATCGTTTTTCTTGTAGTGTAGTGATAAATTCTCTAGGGTCAATATTCCAATGTAGGGTTCACATCTCTATGTTGCCTAACAGACAAATTAATAACTTTAGCAATTTACAGACCAAGACTACCTTACAACAACCAAGGTTTGTTCATGGATATACTTTGCCATGATCCGCCAACAAGTATTATAGAGTGAAGAAGGCCACCAGAATTACTAAATGAGACAAGGAGAGCTCCAGTAAAGGAGCTGTGATGGGGTGTGACCAAGTAGTTCCTTGAGCTTTCTTTGACTGATAAGATTCCCTTGAAACAAGTCCTAAATGAGTTCATATTAATAAGGACCTCTGCTCGCATCCCAGTCCCAGCGTGGCGCCGGACTCCAATTGCATCATCATACATGACAATGAGACTAAAACCCAAACACACGTGAAAATGAAATAGAGAGTCCGCCACTCCATGAAGAAATTCAAGAATACCTTGATCAATTGGGCTATTACCCAAGCTATCAAGCCAGACACGAGAGTCAGGTTTGCAGCGTGTGTGTGTGTGTTGCCACTACTTATAACAGTTCAAAAAAGTATCAGTGAATTTTATAAATAGTTTCGTTCTAACGAGAGTCGAGAGAGCCTTCGGATTTAGGACAGACAAAAGAAGCAATCATTCATCAACACACGCCCCGGTGGGACTCGAACCCACAATCGCCTGATTAGAAGTCAGACGCCTTATCCATTAGGGCACGGGCGCTATTCGTTAGTCGGTTTCATATATTCATTTAATTTGATGTAGGGGTCCCTTATTGTTGTGTTGTTCCTTTTAATTTATGATATCTAGGTATTTTAGATTGGACGAGTACAACTACAGAAGTTCATGTAAGTGGAGAGCCATTTTGTACCACTAATTTTAGGCACTCTTGGGATTGATTCAGCATTTGTATTTATTTCTTTGTATGCAGGATTTTTGTCAAAGAAAATGTGGCAAGAGTTTTATGATAATATCAATTGGGTCAAGTGGTATCAATTCCAATTTAAATTATTTTTGTTACGTGTTAGATAAATTTGTATTAATTTTTATATTTATCTTAAGGGAAATTGTCTAAAACTCACCATGATTTTTCAGCATGTTTTTTAAAAATGAATCGGTTAGGGGTCCGGTTACCAGTTCGAACAGTCCGACCGTTCGACCCGAACGACTGGCCCATTCTGACAAAAAAAAAGAAAAAAATAAAAAAAAATTGGAAACCGTTCGAACGGTTCGAACAGTTAACCGACCGGTTCAGCGGTTTGCTGACCAAAATCAACGGTTTTGGGGGAAAACGAAACCGGACAGGTGATCGGTTCCCAGTTTTTCCGATCCGACCGTCTGGTCCGATCTAGTTTTGAAAACCATGGTTTTCAGCATTTCCCTTAAACTCACAACTTTTAAAAATGTCTAAAACTCACCATGTCAGTAAGTTTTTATTCTCCAAAACTCACCTTCCGTTAGTGCACCGTTAATGCTTCTTAACAGAGGTGTCCATGTCAGCATAAATAACAATTTTCATGACCAAATTACCCTTGAATGGCGAATTAGAGGAAAATAGTCTTTTTCAGTTTTCAATTTTCTTGTTTTCTTTTTTGCATTTTTAGTATTTTGTTATAATTTCCAATGTTTTTTATAATTTCTGTTTTTTTTTTTACATTTTCTATTTTCTACAATCTATAAATTTTCCTGTATTTTTTGTTATTTATTTGTAATTTCTGTGTTTTTCTATATTTTTTTTTTGTTTTTTCTACAATTTTTATTTTCTGATTTCTTTTTTCAATTTCTATAGTTTCCATAATTTGAAAATAATTTTTGATTTTTTTCTTTTTTTCATGTCTAAATATTAAAATGATAATATATTAACACCAGTTAATTTATTTTGTATATATTTTATAGTTAAGGTTAAAATGATAATATATTAACACCCGTTAGTCTGTTTAACGTCAAGTTAGTGACATGGTGAGTTTTAGACATTTTGAAAAGTTATGGTGAGTTTAAGAGAAATGCTGAAAACTCATGGTGAGTTTTGAAAAATTTCCCTTATCTTAATTCTTATTATTCTTATTACATTTTATTAATTTTATTATTCTTAAATGTGATGCATAGTCCTTGTTATGTTACATTTAGATAGGAGCTAGTCTTAAGACATTTCTAATTGGCCAAGCTGAACCCTATCCATCTTTTTTTGTTATCTTCTGATTTTTTAGAAAAATTCCTTACTTTATTGATTTTTTTCTGTTCATTAATAAAATTGTTAATAATTTTTTCTCTTATCTTCTCCCTATTTTTCTGAATTTTCTAATTAATAAAACTACATTATAGTGAAACTTTCTTATTTTCTCTTTTTTTTTCAAAATTGCATAACTGGGTCAAACCAGTCAAACTAATTGGTCCAATTGAATATGAAATGGTAATTGAAACTAGTGGATTAGATGGTTTTAGGTATTCAAATAACTCAACCCATGAACTTCGTCTTCTTGATGCATAGCAATTTTTCGGCTTTTGATTCATTTCTCCTTCTTGTCCTTTCTTCTTCTCCTAAGAAATTGGCAAAGCTAGGGAAACCACCCATTCTATTTGATCTACCATTCAATGGTTCCAAGACTTGAGTTTACTGCAATGGAGCTATAAGACAAAAGAGATAATTCATGTCCACAAAAAATGTTTTTAGAAAACTAGTAGTTTAATTGTCGCATAATTTATAAAAAAGACTTTAGTGAATTTTTAATATATTCGTCTTTTTGAGAATATAGCAGCAAATACTTTATTCAAAATTTAACTAATAGTGAAATTATGATCTTAACAAAAACATTGTAATTAACTGTGTTTCTAGTATTTATTTTCAAGTCATATTTTCTAAAAATGTATATAGTAGATTTAGCAAATCAAACTAAATCAATCAAGATTTGTTCAAATTGATAACTAAAAATTTATATTTTCTTAACCCGTCTTCCTTCTATATTATTCGCCAAATTTAACCCGTCTTCTTGCTATATTATTTTAACTTTTTCATTATTATTTTCAATTTCTTGTCCAGCCCGGCACGGGGCTGCCTGGGTTCATGTTGTGGGACATACTAGGCATGACCTTTGAAGGGTTTTGAGCCAGGTAGGCTTGACCCACTCAGGCCCAAATAATGGTGCAACACAACCACTTAAGCATGGGCGGTCTACAAAATCATATTGTATTGACACGACACATCCCACTTTACACCTCTACCACTGATAAGTTATACTAAACCCTTGGTGACTTAGTTTAATGGGAGGGCTGGGAAAAAGGAATGAAAGAAAGAGAGAGAATTGAAGAAGTAGAAAAGGGAGAAAGGGAGAAAGGGAGCAGGGAAAAATGAGAGGAAGGGCGTAATGAACAACATTTTTTTTATATATGGTATACATATTGCTGGTATATTACAAGTAAATTTAGGTAGCTCATCCAACTGGTATCTCCCATTTACTCATATTTTTTAGCTCATCCAACCTTGTAGCGAGATGCAAGTCACTCAAGGAAATTGAAAACTTCATTTGAATGGGAATGTGTAACATAGGCGTTCATTATATGGCTCAAACCGCAAAATCAAATTGAACCAAACTGAATTTGCGGTTTGGTTCGGTTTGAGAATTTTTTAAATTGTGATTTGTGGTTTTGGTTTGGTTTGGTTTATTGAATTTTATAAACTGAACTAAACCATAAACCATAAACTGAAATTTTATATATATATATATATATAATATAAATATATGATATATATAAATATTATATATAAAATTATAAATATATAATGAAATCTTTATTTTATAATAAAAATATGGGAAAATCTATGATATGGAAAAAGTATCTTTTCTATATCGTATTGAACCAACGTTCGCCTTCTCTGTTTTGGTGAATATGGGTTATCATACGTAACCGGCTTTAAAAACAACCATTTAAATTGTATTTTAAAAAAGAAATTCATTTCAGTATAAGAAAGACGTTAACGTCTTCACTGTTAAACGTCACCCCGAAGCCGCTCTGGCGGATGGGGGTGCACGATGACCGAAGCTCACTTCAAGAACGGCTGCCTCGAACGGCTAGTATAGGGGGCCTCTAACAAACAAAGATGGTCGGGAGCAAGAGAAGTCGTCTACCGGATGGCAAATGAAGGAGCACGGGAAAGAAGACAGTCGGGAGCAACAGAGAAGTCGTCGTTTTCGAACTGAATTCATTTTTCCTTTTTTTGAGCACGGGGAAGAAGACGGCAGGGAGCAATCTACCGGATGGCTAATGGAGGAGCACAGGGAAGAAGACTATCGTCGTTTTCAAACGGAGGAATAGAGAAGGTGTCGATTTTCGAACAGAGTTCTTCTCCTGTTGTTGCGTTCAGGGGTATAGCGGTAATAATTTTATGATGGTGGGAAACAATCTACTGGAAAACGAATGGAGGAGCACGGGGAAGAAGACAGTCGTTGTTTTCGAACAGAAGAACTGAGAAGTCATTGATTTTCGAATAGAGTTCTTCTTCTCCTTTTTTGAAAATGGGAAAGAAAACGGTGGGGAATAATCTACCGGATGGCAAATGGAGGAGCACGGGGAAGAAGACAGTCGTTGTTTTCGAATGGAAGAACTGAGAAGTCGTCGATTTTCGAATAGAGTTCTTCTCCTGTTTTGATTTTTTTGAACTACCAAAAAGAGCCTTCATTTCATTATTATTTCATAGGGGGTGAGCAAAACTAGAAAGCAGAAGCTCTCGCTCATTTGTTTTCTTTCTACAAAAAGGATCACATTTGATGTTTACTCACTCTAGCCAGACTCTAGTACGTACTAAGTAGCAGCAGCATTAGTAGTAGGTCTATCTCCTACATCCTACAAATTACAATTTATCTAAAAACCAGCGGAATCCAAGATGGAGAACAGTCGTCCGCCATTATCGTGTTTGTGGCGCTACTTCTGCTTCAGGGGACAAGGAACAAAGAACGACTCCTCCCATGTCAAAAACCAGTGCCTTCGCCTCCTTGTCCATCTGTTTCCTCGCGTTGTGTTCTTTCCCAACGATGTTCCTTTTGTTATCCTGGGCGTTTATCCCGAATACAATTATCTGCAGATTCTCTTTCTCGGAAGCAACGACGGTGAACACATGCCCCAGTGGAATTATGAAACCTGTATTTGAAGACACACGGGAACTGGCCTTCTCATACTATACCCCATCTCCTTCTCCTTCTCTTCCTCTCTGGTTCTGACTGGAGATGTGTGGGCACGCCATCTCCCACCATCCACTCCCTTTCACTACAAAAGCTATCTTGGTCGACCTCGTGTTGTACAAGGGAGCTAGCATTGCTCCGGCTCCTTGGCTGATGTTGCTAAATATGACGGAGACATCGAGGTCTTTGAGCTGCTAGTAGTCGTTACGTTGGGCCTCGTAGAGTTGTCCATAGCTGTTAGAATAGATGGGGCCTTTCTTCAACAGGTTGAACGGGCCCCTCGTCTCACTTTTGTGTATGCTCCACCAACGCTCGCCCTCTGATGATGAAGAAGCCTGCTCGCTCATGGCCTTAATCTGTTCCTTTGACGCCTCCCTTATCACTCCCTTCCTTTTCTTTCCCAACATCCTCTTTAGTTTGTCTTTTGGAGTATTTAGAACGGCTTCCAGGATTTCATTGCTAAATGCAGTGTAGAATGATTCCCCATCTTCGCTGTTGGCACTGAAGAATTTCGAGACGTGGCCGAGAGTTGAGATGGCCTTCAAGAGTGTGACTATCTGGAGGTTTTCGTTGTTGTCTCTGTTCACCAAGTAGACCATCGTTCCAGCAGGAATCCTAGCTACATCTCCACACTCAAGATTGTAGGATTTCCTGTTATCATTGCGCACCAAGTTGATTGTTGCTTTCCCCTTAACAACAATGACAACAACATCTGCATCCCAGTGGTGGGGGAACAGGAAAGTGTTAGGTTCGACTTCCAGGATAGCCAAGCGGTAGTTACCTAGACCACTCAGAAGCTTGAATCGGGAGCTGAATCTCTACTCACCGAAGAAGTAGGGGTTACTCTTGTCACTCCTGTTGCTGCTCCTCCTCTCGGCTGCCTTCTCTTTGCTTGTTATCTCTTTGCGGTTTCAGTGGGTAAGCCGGTGACAAAGCTGTCGACAAAAGGAAGAGAGAAAGCTATGGTGGACGGATTCTCCTGTTTCGAATTGTGCTGAGGGGTATAACTGTTTCGCTGATGGGGAGGAGTTGGAAAAAAAATTCATACTTTTTTGAATGGGAATGTGTAACATAGGTGTTCATTATATGGTTCAAACTGCAAAATCAAATTGAATTTGCGGTTTGGTTCGGTTTGAGAATTTTCTAAATTGTGGTTTGTGGTTTTGGTTTGGTTTATTGAAATTTATAAACTGAACTAAACCGTAAACCATAAACCGAAATTATATATATTTATATATATATATATATAATATGAATATATGATATATAAATATTATATATAATATATCTAATCGAAATGGTAAAATATAAATATATAATGAACTCTTTATTTTATAATAAAATAATAGATAAAAGTTTTAAGTTTTAATTTTTAGGAGAGTTATTTGGGCTTTTTAATTGGGTTAGGCCCAAAAAAATCATAAAATAGTCCAAAGTCCCCAAACAGTATTAGAAATCGCACCAAACTGTAATAAAATAATTTTATTTGGTTTGATTTCCATACCAAAATGGTTTGATTCCATTTAAAAATTTCTCAAACTGTAATTTATTGATTTGGTCTAAGATCTTCTTCAAACCACACCAAACCAGACTGTGAACACGTAGTACACAAGACAAGGGAGACAAGGGAGACAAGGGAGAGCAGTGTTGGCCCTAATGGTTGACCCCTCATACCTTTCAAATTTGAAATTATTTTCAAAATTGAGCCTTCCCTCAAATGGGCCGGGAATTGTTTGGGTGGAGAGGGATGCCATTTGTGGGTCAGTGGGTCAGAGTTTGGTCTTTGGACCCTTATATTTCGGGCAAATACGTGGGCTATGATGAACAGTTTGAAGATAGGGCTGTTGTTGCGGGCAAAATAGGTGGGCGTTTGGCCCAAAATCAAATGCTGGTTCTTGTGATCTTTATTTGGGACCCTGATAGGCTGATATGATATGACATTATGACAGGGACGAACGAAAGAAACGAGGGACTAGGGAAGGGAGGTAGATAGCGAGATTGATGAACCGAGGGATGTGGATGACGTGACGGTGTGTGTGTCTGGAGGTCTTGCAAGTTGGTTAGGCATGTGAACTCAGTTTAGGGAAGACAAAAGCTTGAGCACATTAATGGATTTATATATTGCAACTGAATGATTTGCCGTGAAATCAGACCCCATAAATGGTTGGTTCTATGGTGAGCCAAATGGTCCAACCGTCCGGGTTAAAGATTTGAAGAGGTTAGGTCAGTTTTAATTGAATTCCAAATCTGCTGATAGAACGGTTTGGGGTGACTTTGGATCGGGTTGAGGACCTTGAGGCTGAGGCAAAATATGGAAAATGAAAAATCCACTGGCTATTGTATCCTTTGTAAAACATACACGCCCGGTGGGACTCGAACCCACAATCGCCTGATTAGAAGTCAGACGCCTTATCCATTAGGCCACGGGCGCTCTTTACTATTCACTCCATTTACCCTTCTATAATCCAATGTCACAAGCACCCTTTTTTATTTTCGGGTGGGAATGTTTTACGATCCACTCCACTTCACAATTCATAACTATTTCATATGTGTTTCGAATCATTAAATGTTTTTACTTCATTTCTTTACAAAATTGGAAAAAATAATCATGGACCTATTTATTGATATTTAGGTGTTATTAAACGTTATTAAGCACACTACATCAGCAAAACAACGAATAAATACCTAATTGTTGGAGGAAACGCTAAAATGACGTTTCTTTATTTGAATCTCTATGCATATGAATCTGCATGGGAGAAATGCTGAAATGGTGCCTATATAACATCATTTATTCAATAAATACCCACGTTTTCAAATACATGCTTCTGAAGGGATGAGAGATCCATCATATGGACGCTCAAAGATTGTGGAATAAGGGGGCGAATTTCAAAAATTTTTCTCTCCCTTCAACTGGGAATCGCATTCCCTATTTTAGAAAATCATATTTTCAATGATCATTCTTGAACCATAAATTGAACCAGATCTGAATCAAAAGGAGTAGGAGAGGATTATACCTGATATGGAGAAATAGTGTCTCCCAATGAAGGGGTTCACGCCCAATGAAGGATCCAAAAACTGCTCCCACTGAAGATGGCGCAATGTAGGATGGAGCAGAATCAGTAGTGTTCTTCTCCAATAACTCTGTCCTTCGCAAGAATCAGCAGGATGGCACGTGAGCACAGCTTCCTATTAATTCTTTCCCAAAGAACTGATGTCAAGATCGAACCTTGACTTCTCCCACAATTGGAGATCGAACTGGCAAACAGGGCGGCAAGAATAGGGAGGCGGCAAGAGAGTATTCGCAGAGTGCAGAATTCACTCTTCTTGTGATTTCAACACTAAAGAAAATCTGATTGTGTGTTTCCTAAAGGCTGCCGCCCCCTCCTTCTTTTGTTAACCTAAAAGATCAGCTTATAATCCAATTAGGAGCTACTTATCCAAATCATATTTGGATAAGACTCCGTTTATGTGATAGGGATAAACCCTTATCTTATCTGCAAATTAGATTAGCTTTCTCCTAGTCTCATTAGGAGGTTTCTAGATTTGAATCACATTCAGATCTGGACTCTATGAGTGGATAGGGTCAAGACCCTATCCTATCTGCTAATCAATCTCAGAATCCGCCCCATTATTAACTAATAAAATAGCTCAGTTTGAAATGGGCTTTAGGCCCATTAAGCTTATGTGCTCACTTAACCTTCCTAACAGTTGCCCAGTTGAGCTTTCTTGTATGGCGTGGGACCCAAGCATTGATCTACACATCAGCCACATGGGTTCGGCCCAGCCTTTGTTACAAGGCCTGGCCGAATACACTGTTATGGACAGTGCACCCCCTGAAACCCATCAAATGGGCTCTATGGGCCCAACACTTACCCTAAGTGGTCCCTGGGCCAAGCCA